TCTTTGTTCTTCTCTGCATACAGCTGAGGCGGTTGCTTTGGTTGGGTTGGTTTCCCCGTTGCTGCTGAGTTGTAGTGGCCTGCGCTGGGGTGTACGTACACCTGGCTAAGTGCTGCTGCAGCGGCAGCTAGCTGCTGTCTTTTGCCTTTTTCTCGTTGCCGTGTGTAGCGAAGTGAAGAAAAATGAAAACACAGACAGAAGAGAGACAGCGCTCCATGGGTATCGTCTTGAGGTCTCTCTTTGGGGGTGTTCATTCTCTCTCTCTGTCTCTCCCTTTGCTGCTGCTACCGCGTCGGCTGTTGCTGCTTCTGCTCTTCCTCTTCTTCTTGGTACTCACGCCCTCCTCCGCTAGGGCCTTCGCAGACCTATCTCGAGTTCCTGGGGGCGCTCTGCTGCCGCCGCCACCGCAGCAGCAGCAGCAGCTGCTGCAGCAGGGGTTCCACTTGCCTCTCTCCCCCTCGCCGCAGCAGCAACTGTCTCCTGGTTTTGTTGTCTCCTTTGGGGGTCTCCAACCCTCTGGCCTCAGCTGCCGCGTGAACGGGGCCCAAGGGGAGACCCTTGAGTGCAGGAGTCTCCTCACCTCACCAAGGAGACGCAACAGCACTCCTGCTGTTGCTACTGCTGCTGCTGCTGGCGAGCAACAATCCCGCAGAGGAATCGCTGCAGCAGCAGCAGCAACCACAGCAGCAGCAGCAGCAGCATCGGCGATGCAGCCCGTGAGGCTTTCACACAGCGCAGCCCTGCCCCGCCCTACTTGACTTCCCTGTATCTTCACCTGTTGTGTTTGGGTGCACTCGCCTCAGCAGTTTTATCTCTTTTTCCTTTTACTTATATAACATCAAGCTATTGCTGCTGCTGTTGTCATCGTTTACTGTGCTCTGGTCTGTGTTTGNTTTTACTTATATAACATCAAGCTATTGCTGCTGCTGTTGTCATCGTTTACTGTGCTCTGGTCTGTGTTTGTTGCGGTGTACAGACAGCTGAAACACCTTCCCCCCTCCCCCCCCTCACCGCCCCCCAGCGGGCGCAGGCAGAGGAGGTTGCGAGGCAAAGCGGCCCCTGGATGGAGGCTAGCGACCCCCTAGCAGCTTACGTGAAACTGCACGGGTAAACTCATAAACCCTAAACCCTAATTCTGTATTTGGTGGCCTTTTCTGTCTCCTCTCTGCTGTCTCTGTCTCCTCTTTGCTGTCGCTGTCTCCTCTCCTCTGGCGCAGTCTCCTCACTGTTTGCTGCTGTCGTCAGCAGCACAGCATGCGTTTGCTGTTGTGTTTGGTTGTTTCCGTCTGAACACACGTTGCTTTCATTTCTTCGCTTCCCCCGTATCCTCTACCTTT